TCATTTTTAGCAGTTGCCCTAAGTTTGACAGTATACATCTTTAGTTTCTAACAGCCTACGCCTCACAAATTCTGCCCCTCCACCTACGGTGCACGATTTACCTTACACCAGGTGACCCACCCCACCTGGTTCTGGTGTCAGCTTCCCTCTGATGTGTCTGTGTTACAAGCTGAGTCATGCGCTGTTGATTGTACCCAGGACAAAAATCTTCTCCCGATCTCTCCCAACATCGCTCACAGTAGGTGTTGTACCTTTATTTATATTTAAACATAACCAAATCTAGTGCTTTTCTTTTTCAGGGTTTGTGCTTTTCCTGTCTTTTCTGTTTGTTGTCTTCCTCCCCGCCCAGTGCCTTCGGGATAGCCCTCAACATTTTATTCTAAAACCTGTACGGTTTTTACTTTTTCGCGGTTAGGTCTTTAATCTTTGGCTTTTAATAAATTGCATCTTTGCTGAGATTTACTTCGCCTAGTGTAAATCGTCTGTTTAAAGTGTACAACTCGGTGGCTTTAGTGTGTTCAAAGTTGTGCCACCATCACCACGACCTTGTGTTTCTCACTAAAACTTCAAAGCATAGAGCAAATTTTTGCTTAGTTTATTATCTGATGGGGTTTTTTGTTTGTTTTGTTTTTGACTGGAGAGCTTATTTTCTTCCCATTTATAGTGAATACAGATCTATTTGGATTTTAAATCTTGTTTTGTGACCTTCATTGACCATAACTTTGCTTCTTTCCCCTTTTTCCTACCTTCTTTAGGCTAATCAGGTTTTCTTTCTTTTTTTTAAGATTTATTTTATTTATTTTTAGAGAGAGGGGTAGGGAGGAAGAGAGGGAGAGAAACATCAATGTGTGGTTGCCTTTGTCACGCCCCCCACTAGGGACCTGGCCCACAACCCAGGCATGTGCCCTGACTGGGAATTGAACCAGCGACCCTTTGGTTTTCAGGTGGGCTCTCAATCCACTGAGCCACACTAGCCAGGGCCTAATCAGGTGTTCTTTATTCCCTTTTCTTCTCTGCTGGGAGCCATTCTGCTTCCGTTCCCTTAGCAGCTACGACAAACATTTTAAATGTGTATGTTTGAGTTAAAAACGTTCAAAAGGAATCGATATTTCTGCCCGTCCCTTGAAATCACAAGGACCCCGAGATGCTTTTATTGACATCCTGCCCCATCTTCCTGACGTGTGATTGTTGTCTGGTATTTTTGTCCCGCTTCGTCGTGTCCCTTGAACTTGTCTTTATCGTCTTACGAAGCCCACGCACGTTCAGTTTACCCACGTTCACTGAGTTCTTTTGCTGACTGTTCTCCTTATGTCCTCCTTCTTTCTTCCCGAGGAGTAGTCCTCAGTAGTTTTTCAGTGAATGGCGCATCCTCAGGTTTTATTTTCTGAACGTGTCTTTGTTTGGTTTGGTTTGGTCTGTGTGAGATAGTGGGTCGCGGTACGACATCGAGGTTGAGCTGCTTTCCCGCACTTTGTACGTGTCAGCCCCCCCATCTTCTGGCTTCTGTCTTTTCATCCCAGAAGTCTGCTGTCAGTCTAATAGCTTTCCCCTTGACGTCAGCCTTCTCCTCTTGAATTTGAGGATTTTATGTTTATGTCTTTCATGGATTCTTGAAGCTCACCGACTGTTCTTTGAAAAATATTAATTTTCTCCTAATTTCCTCATTATCTCTTCCTAGATGCGAAAATCCGATCAGATGTAGGTGTTTCTGGTCTGTGCTCTTAACGTGCCGTGTTCCCAGCCATCGTTTTTCTCCCTGTCCTTCATTCCGTGTGCTTTCCTCCTCTTTCATTCAGTCGACTTTTTTCTAGCTGTGTCTAACTTCTCAGCTGTGTCTAGGTCTACTGTTTCACCAGTCAGTGGAGGTCGTAAAAATTTCAGTGACTATATATTTTAAGCTTAGAAATTGTTGTTTTAATAGTATCTTGATTTTCCCTAAGATTTGATGATTTCACCCTGGCTGGTGTGGCTCAGTGGATTGAACACTGGTCTGTGAACCCAAGGGTCACTGGTTCGATTCCCAGTCAGGGCACATGCGTGGGTTGTGGGCCAGTTCCCCAGTGGGGGGCGCACAAGAGGCAACCACACATTGATGTTTCCCTCCCTCTCTTTCTCCTTCCCTTCCTCTCTCTCTGAAAATAAATAAATGAAATCTTAAAAAAAAAAAAGATTTTGTGATTTCTGTTCACCATGCCTTTTTTCATGCTTCTTCTGCTTCCTGCCCTGATCATTTTCTACCTTAGGAGACTGTTGACAGTTGTGTTGTGTTTTGGATGATTACATGATTTCAACCTCTGGGATCTTTGATCGATCTGTTCATTGTGTTCTCACCAACGGTGCACTCCTTCCTCGTGGGCTTCGCAGTTTCTGGTTGTGAGCTTACAGCGAGCCAGGGTTGTGGTCTGGACCGAGGGACGGTCCCGCCTGCATCCGAGTCCCCTTCAGGCAGAAACCTCCAGGGCAGGCACCGGCTGCTTCCAGTTCTCAGGCCAGTTTGTCAGCCCCGTGGGTCATGGGAGGTCTGGATCCCGGCCTCCATGAGGCGGCGGCTGTGGTTTTGGATTCTCCAGGAAGAAACTGTCCTGTCCACGCCGGTCGCCCAGAGCCTAGCCTGAGACAGATAAGCTTTTTTGCCCTCAAGGCAGCCGTGGAGTTAAGCCACTCAGACTTCTAGCCCAGAACTTATCGTTTAGCTGTCAGGAGTGATTCAACAGGCTGTTCCAGTCATTAACGCCCTCAGGGCACGGCTCAGCTTTGACGCGGAGGCCATGCTTTTCTGGAGCAGCCCGCCCAGCCCGGGGAGCGGGTGGGGTCTGAGGCCAGGTCCTGTCTGCCCTGCACGAGGTTCCCCTGCCAGGCGATACTTGCTCTGGAACCCCGCATCCGGTCGGCTGAAACTTTGTCAGAGCTGCTCCCTGGACCTGCGTCCTCTCCTTTCCCAGGTGCTGGATCCACGCCCTGGTCTGCGACTGTGCCTGCAAAGCCCTCCCTCCTCCTCCTCTGACCTTTTTCATAGGCATCGATCCCCAGTAACCTCTCGCGTGTCTGTGTCAGCATCCGCTCTCTGGGGATACATCTCCTGGTATCGGGGTGCACGTTTACTGAACTGTGTTTTCTGAAGACGACGCCGTCCAGAGACTTTGTCCAGAGGCATCGGGTCCAGCTTCTCCCCTGCAGGGGCCCGAGGCCTCTGCGCCCCTCTCCTCACCCCACTCCAGGTAGGCGCAGCCCCCCCTCCAACACTTGGAGTGGGTGTTCGGTCCTGTCTTCACTTCTGGCCCGTGAGGACTCCCCTGCGTTCTTTTCTGTCTTAGCTCCGTGTTTAACAGTGTGTGTGTTCATCGCAGCCCATTTGGCACTTCCAGATGTTTTTGTCAGGCCTGTGTCCAGGGTTATACAGTCCACAATATGTGCATTTTTTTTTACTTCTTGACCAAAAATTCTTAAGGGCAGAAATTATTTCAGTGTTAGGTATTTAAAGTCTGAATCGTGCTTTTTTAATATTTATAAATCCCCATGCAGAAACTGCACAGTACGCGGGGTTTCACGATGATGCCAGATCAGGAACCTCGTTTTTACAGCCGCCAGGGAACAGAGCCTTCCCGTGGCCCCTGAGCCTGCTGCCTCGTTTCGTACACACACCCCTGTGCATGGCTCCGGGAACGTGCCACCTGCCAAGTCGGGGGGCGGGAGGGTGTCTAACAAGACAACAGGAGGCGCCTGAGCGAGGGCCCACGGACAAACGTGGGAGGCTCCGTCCTCCCTGCAGAGGTTGGGGGCGGCCGGGCGGCACTAAGGGGCAGAGGCGCTGCAGGTGGCTGGGGACGAGGCGGGCGGTGTCTGCAGCGAAGACCTGTGCAGCAGCACAGGCAGCACAGGGCTTAGGGGAGGGCAGACACTTCAGTTCACCAGAGGGCAAGACGCAGGAGATGTTGCAGGACACCAAGACCAGGGAGGAGCCCCACCTCACGAGGGGCACGTGTCCGGTGCTAAAAAGTGGGCGTCTCTGCAGGTTGGAAGGGGCAGAGGTCCTCCAGAGTCTCCAGAGGAGCCGGCCTGGCCGACCCCTTGATTGTAGCTCCCCCAGGCTTATCTTGGCCTTCTGACCTCCAGAGCCGTGGGGTGACTCGGCCTTGGCTCAACCCACAGAGCTCGTGGTATCGTGTCCCAGCACCGCTCAGAAACTGGCACAGGCGGGCACCACTGTGCTCTGGCCTAGGCAGGACGCTTCGGAGGAGCGTGTTCCAAGCCAGGGCTCCCAGGAGCTCGGGGGCGGTGTCGCGACCCCACCTTCCAGATGTCTGCCATGGAACCCCACCCCCTCCCTTGGCCGAGCCCCCCCCCCCATGCTCCGTCGTCCTGGCAAGTGCAGCCGAGGAGAAATCACCCATGTGGTGCACCACTAACTGGCCGGGGGTTCCGGCGTGGAGAGGTTCCCGTGTGCAGAGCACGCAGGTGCGGGGCAGTGAAAGAAGGCACTGGGGCTGGGTTAACAGTCGCTAACTCTGGGTGGTGGGAATGTGGGTGTCGGCCTGGGGCGGACCTCACCCCAAGACCACGGACACAACAATCACAGGTGCTGTGCCTCCTCTCCTCGCCTCGGCCCCGCCAGGAGAAGATGCGGCGAGGGAACCCCCGCACCCGCTTTGCTGTGATGTTCTGCGCTGCTTCTCCTGACCTTCCCATCCTCGTGTGCGTCCCGTCCAACTACGTGAGACCGAGTCACGTCACCTGTGGGTGTCTTCCCAAGCGAAGGGACAAATGCGTTTGGATTCCCGCCCCCCAGATGTCAGTTTACCTCCACCGAGTCAAACTCCTCTGGAATCTTCCATTCCTACCTCTTAGGGACTGTCGCTGCCCTGGGTCCAAGGCGACCGAGTGCCCAGGGAGGATGCTGGGAGCTGACCGCACAGCCTTGGGGGGAGGGGGATGTGGGGGGGTGCATTGAGAGGCCTCGGCCCCAGATACGCAGGTCTAAGAACGGAACCCACCAAACCACCTCGGTGCTGGTTAGGTTTTATTTTAACAGGGCGCTTCCTCATTGGTTTTTTCAAAATATCAGTTATATCAATTAGAGGTGTAAACAGGTACAAAATATACAGTACATAGAAACAATTTTCTTAACTAGTCTACTGCCTAACAAAAGTACACACGGGGGAGCTGGGTGAACAGCAGCCTGGCCTCTCCTCTGGGGGCGGGGGAGCAAGGCGCCCCCGTTCTGGATGAGGGGCCCAGCGGCGGCTTCCACAAAACAGGAGTGGTTGCTTGCGTGGCGAGGACCATGGCAGCACGGAGAAGCCTGGGCCTGTGCCTGCCGCCATGCCAGGGTCTGCAGCAGAGACGGGCAGGCGCCGCCCGGGCCCTGGCCCTCGGGCCTTGCAGGGCGCACACACCAGGGAGGCCGGGGCTCAGCCGCGGCCTGAGGCCCGACGATTTTGCTCATGCACGCGGGGGACCGATCTCCTAAACGGCGAAAACGAAAGCTTTCCTCGCCCACACTGAGGCTCTGGGAGGGTAAGCCGTGTCTGACCCGAGGCTTTCTCCCACTGTTGGTACGCACCGGGCCCCGCGCCGCGAGGCCGAGATGTGTCCCCTCTGAGTAATTTCCTCGTCTCTAACAAGAAAGACTTGCCCTGTGTGTTTCACGGGACCCCTGCGAGGTCACCGGCACAACCACCGTGTGAGGTGCGGTGTGAAAGCCCTCTGACGGTGAAAACACGCCACACAGAGAGGACACAGGAGCATCTCTGGGGAGGGGAAGGCAGCCCCAAGCGGCGCTGGCAGGCCAGGCTGTGTGCTGGGCCCCACTGGTGCCCAGATGTGATGCCCCCACTGCCCCCCACCCCAGGTCACCTCTGCAGCCCTGGCCCTGTGCTTTCACACATCCCTCCTGTCCCAGGCCCGGAGTCGCACATCGGGGCGACACCGTCAGGCTCCCTTCTGAGTGGGGGTGGCCGGTGACCCCTAACAGGGAAACAGGGGCCAGCACTGCTGGGGGCCTCTGGAGGGAGAGGCGGGCTGGGAGGGGAGGTGGCTGCTCTGGGGCGAGTCCTCCTCCCCGACGAGGTGAGGCTGGGTTCCAGCGCCCTGCGGGCCTCGGTTCCCAGGCAGCGTGGAGACCCAGGCGCAGGCCGGCCCAGACCCTGGCATTGCGAGGTCACAACCCCCCAGGCCTCCTGCTACCACTGCCCCGTCCCCAGGAGCCCGTGGGGCGGGGGAGCTGCGGGTCCCTCCTCACTGGGCCCCCAGCCCCGCCGCCCTTCCAGCACATTCCCCGTCAGACCTGGTAAGGACACAGCATACACACACGCTCCAGAAACCAAAAGTAGGCTAGAAAGTTTAAACGGGTACTACGACTATTTTCCAGCTTCTTCGAGAATTAAAAAAAAAGTTTCATAATTAAATTACTTAAAATTCTATGGTGCTCAGTGTCACAATCAGAGAAGTCCACTTTGTTCAGAGGCGGAAGCCGTCTTGTCCGACAGTCTCTCTCCCTCCGGCCATCAGTTCGGCCGCTTGGGGGTTTGGTCTCCCAGTCTCCGCTCCCGCCTCTGCGTCCGCCACCACCCCGACGTCTGGAAACGGGACTTTTTACACTCGCGGCCCGCCCACGGGGTTCGGAGGGCTGAGGTAGCCCTGGCCATCCTCGGGAGCCTCACAGGTCCCCGCCGTCGGTGGGTCCCAGGACACTCAGGCCACAAGTCCAGTCGGTCACAAGGTCTGTGGTGGCCAAGGGTCCTTTGGAGGCAGGGCTCTTGAAAGGGTCCGGGGGGCCGGCCGGGAGCGGCGGCAGCGGCTGGCCCCGGGCCGGGCCCTTGGCGCCCGCCGTGTGGTTGCGCTGGTGCTTGCGGAGGTGGTCCTTGCGGATGAAGCTCTTGCCGCAGACCGTGCAGGTGAAGGGCCGCACGCCCGTGTGGGTTCGGTAGTGGTCGATGAGCTTGGAGCGCTCAGTGAATCGCTTCTCGCACTCGGTGCACGGGAAGGGCCTCTCGCCCGTGTGCAGCATGCGGTGCCGGATGAGGTGGGCCGGCCGCGTGAAGCAGCGCCCGCACTCCCCGCACCGCAGGGCGCTGCCGTCCCGTGCGGTCCCCGCCGCCCCCGCCGCCCCATCCGACAGCCCGCAGCTGCGCTGGTGCGCACTCAGGCTCACCTGCAGCTGGAAGCTCTTCCCGCAGGTGGCGCAGGTGAAGGGTCGGCCGCCAGGGGGCGCAGCCGGGTGCTTCTTCAGGCCCGGCTTGTGGCCAAAGCCTTTGGTCCGGCCCGGGTATTTACAGGGGTCACTGAAGGCTCTCGAGGCCTGGCCTGGGTCCAGCACAGCCTCTCCGTTGTCAGGGGAGGAGTAGGGGAGCCCCTCAGGCCCAGTCCTCGGGTTTAGAGCCACAGGAGGTTTGCACCTGAAATTCCAGCCCCACCGGACCCCCCCAAGGAGCCAGTCCCCCGGAGGGGTCTCATCCTGGGCCACGGCGGGGCTGGGCTCCCCCAGGTCCCGCTCCGGCCGGGCGGGCTCTCTGAGCCCCAGCACAGGGTCCTGGCTGGGGAAGGAGCTGCCCTGGCTCTCCCAGGCGCCTTCCTGGACAGGGCTAGGGAAAAACCTTGCGGCCTGGCCTGGTCCAAAGAGGGTCCCGTGGGCCTCCAGGTCGGTGGGGTGCACTGGGGTGGCCACCACCTCCTCTTCCTGGACTTCAGTTTTGATCACAATTTTTACATCTGCTGAGAAAGACAGAAAGACCAGGTATCACTGTGGCCCCTCCCCCACGCACAGCGAAGATGAACGGTGCACCTGGAGACTGAGCAGCCTCTGGGTCCCACTCCCAGCAGCGCGCTGGGCCCTGGTCTCCAGGCGGCAGGATCCGGCTCTGCAGAGCGCCCCCCAGCGGTCAAGCGGCCGCTTCAAACCCCGAGGAGGACATCCCTGTTCCAGAGCCTCCAGGGCAAGGAAAGCAACCATGGCGGCTGCTCCTTGAGTTCCCTTTCTGCTTTGGCCGCCAAGGCTAACCAAAATGACCTCGAGGAAGGCACTCTGACCACCAGTGACAATGTTCCCGCGGGGCAAAGGCGCCGGGCTGGGGCTCAGGCGGACCTGGGATGGAACCACACCTTCCTCCCCACAGACCAGCCGTGAGCTGCAGGGCAATTTCTTAACCAGCAGCACACCTGTGAACACCCCGTCGTAGGGGACGTGAGGGTTACCAGATACCGTGTCCGAAGGCACCTCGCATGCTGTTTGGCACACAGCAAGCATGCAATACATGCGGCCACCTAGCTAACGGTGAAAATATTCGTGAAACAATACCAGTGATGTAAATGTACTTGAATTTCACTTCCTGAAGTTTTGTATCAGGGGTCTAGGCTTCTAGCACATTTTTGGAGTGCTAAAATATAACAAATTATTAAAATAACAGATAATGGGTCATCAAAACAGAAGTAAATAGAAAATACATAAATTTGAAAGTCTTCTCTCCAGTTCTGGCCTTGGGACGCCTGCCGTTGGCAGCACCAACATCTAAGAATCGCTCTGGGGTGGTCTGGCTGCTGCCATGCCAGCCAGGTGCCAGGCTCCGGGTTGGGGCAGGAGGCGTGTCCTCTCAGGCCATCAGCTGATGAGGACTGAGCGGTCAGCGTGAGAAAAGAACCACTGGAAACACGGACCTGCTCAAGGAAGGCTGTCGCAGCCTCAGCCTGGACGGGACACAGGGCAGACTGTGGAGTCCTAGACGCCCACCGCCTGACAGGCCGGGCCGGCTCCCGAGTACGGGTCAGGCCTGGGCTGAGGCAGCCTCCGGGGCGGACGAACGGAAGCCTTCCCCGCCCCCTCTCTGCCACCCGTACCTTCCGTGGAGGCCGCCGTGCTGAGCTTCAGGGTCCCGTCTGAGCATGCAGAGGAGGGGTGGTGTGGGGGGAGGTCCGCCTGCCAGGACGTGGGCGGGATCGTGGTCGAGAAGCTGGAGTGGACGCCTGCAGCAGAGGGAGCAGAACCCGCGGGTTAGAGGACGGAAGTGGACGAAACCCCCCCGGGACCCCACCCCGGCTTTCTGCACGAGCCCTGTGGCCACACCCTCCTGAACCCAGGTTCTTGCTCCCCTCTCGGTGGAGGCAACGTCACCAGCTCATTCCACACGCTCCTCCTCAACACGCGGCAGCTGGTGGCCTCACCGCCCGATGCGGGGAGGGGGCGGGAGCACAAGTGTGGCCGACGACGAAGGTGAGGCAGGGAAACACCAGGACAAGAACGTCACGGCACCCAGAGGGGCCCACAGGTGTCCTTTGGGGCCGTCCCTGTCTTAAGTGGGGGAACTGCCAAGCCAGGCAGGCCAGATGCTTCCAGAGTCCAGAGCTCCCACCGCGCGGGCTTCCAGGACCTGCATCCGCCACGCCCGGCCCGCTCCCTGCCTCTCACTCCTGGTACCCACTCCCGTCTGAGCCACTCACCAGCGGCGGCATCCGTGGAGACGTCTCCCGCTCCGGAATCCAGCTGGCTCAGGCCCCACGGCTCCTCCCCGATATCTGGCTGGCCGGCCGCCCAGGCCTCGACCCCCAGAGCGTGCTGCTCCTGGAGCTGGAGCTCGCCCTCCTGTTTGATCTGCATGAGGAGGTCGGGGGCAGGAACGGGGGGCGCCGAGCCTGAGAGAGGGAGAGTGTGTGAGCACACAGCGGCAGGGCCCCTCGGCCCAGGGTGGACCACAGCCGGCCAAGGAGATGGGCCTGGGGGGGCCCGCAGCAGGAGAGCCCGGTGGGAAGGGGCAGCGAGGACAACAGGGGCTGCGGGGGCTCCCCTAGCACAGGGGGAGGCTGGGAGGGGCCGGCCGGGGCACGCTGCTGCCTGCTCAGCTCAGGGCTAGCCCCCTGGCATGTGGGGGAGAGCAGCGAGATGCCCTGCGGAGCTCCAGCTCTCACTCTGAACACCCGCCCATATCTCGGCGAGCATGAGAGACTGGAGAGATGAGAATCAAAGAGAAAACGCCAAGTCAAACCAAGTGTTGCAGTGGGAGCCGAGGGACCCGGGAGACCGCTGGGACAGGGTGCCGGCCTCGGGGGCTGGGGCCCTGATGTCCGAGCGAGCGAGCGAGGCGAGAGCAGAGCTGAGCCGCCCGCCTGCGTGGAGCCAGGCGCCCTGAGACTCGGTCCCCGCTGGAGGCAGGGACTAGGAAAACACCACCTGAGGGGCCTGCAGGACCAGGGCCACGGGTGGGAAAGCCACCCACGAGAAACGAGAATCCCGTGCCCACAGTGAATTCCCACACGGTGCACGGACCCCGCCTGAGAAATTCACAGAAGGGCCGACCCAGGACCCCGGCCACCCGCCCCGCCAGGGCCCCCACTCAGACGCTCGATGCCCAGACCCGGGGAGGAGCCAGGCGGCAGGCGGTCCCCCCAGAACTCACTCCCGAGAACCACAGAACGAGGAGTGAGCCGGAAAGACGCTGTAGCGTAAGTGCGTCTAAAGCAGTCAAAGAAATGAAGGAACAGAACCCCAATGGCAAGGACAGGAATACCTGAAAAAGAACTACATATATTTCACACTCTACAAATGACCACATAAATGAAAAACTCGATGCGTGGCTTCACAACAGACTGAACGTAGCTGGGGAGAACACCGGTGACCTGGGAGACGAACCTGGGAAAAAAGAATCCCCAGCACGGCGCTGGGGTTGACACAGAAAGAAAGAAAGAAAGAAAGAAAGAAAGAAACGGGAGAGGGAAGTGAGAGACCCCACCCAGGCTGCGGACGCTGGAGGCGAGAAGAGGGGAAGGAGGAGGACGCGCCCCAATCGAAGGCACCGAGGCCCGTCCGAGGGAACACCCAGCTCCTAAGTGGGAAATGAGAAGTATAAACCTCGACAGCGTTCTGCGAAGTGGAGTAAGGGCAAAGGCAAAACATTAAAAGGCACCAGAGAGAAAAGAACGACGTTTGGACTGCAAGCAGATTCCCGTCGGCAGACAGGGCATCGGAAGACGATGAAATGTCTCCAGAACCCGAGGGGGCGCCTCCGCCGGTCTGACTCTGCCCGCACCAAGGTGAGGGCGGGATGTGAAGAAATACAGAAGGCCGTCTCCTGTGTGAGGGGGTATGCCAGGTTTCTTAACGAGAGCGTTACCAGTCAAACCCGGTAAGGGGTTTTCAAAAAAAGAGACAATACACTATGAACAAATGAGTTTATCCTGAGAACTCAAGGACAAGCTGGCCCTAGAAAACACAGCGATATAACTCACAACGTTAACAGATCAATGGAGAACACAATAAAACCATCTCAACAGACGGACAAGCGGCGTCCGGTGCTCCATTCCTGGTATGCAGCTAGCTACATGCAGCGAGACTCCTCCCCGTGCGGGGCAGCTACAGACGCTGGGTAAAGCAGGAAGAATACAATCCAGGTTTAAGCACGGTGACCCCGACCTCACGTGAGGAAAATGACCAGAGGCCAGCACCTCCAGGAAGGCCCGCTTCGTCCACAGCATGCCGCAGGGCACCTCCGGGCCGCAGCCCCGCTGCCTAGGCCGTGGGGGGCGGCGCGCGTCTGCGGCAGAGGAGCGTGAATCGCCTGGGGCTGGAGCGGGACGGGCTGGAGACCCCCCCGTCACACGCGTCTGGCCCACGACACCGAGGGCGGCGTCCCCTGCGGACAACATCCACGCTGTCTCCCAGAGATGCGCCTACAACCGAAGGAAGCAAAGCCCATGTCCGACAATCAAAGACGCACCGCACCACAATGAGCGGTTTAAAAAGCAGTGGAGTTACACCACAGCAGATGAAATAGGCTGCAAAAGGAAAAATGTTCACAGAAGGGGGGCAAAAAGGACTACTGGGCAATAGCACATTAATGGGCCAGGAAGAGACAATAATTCTAAAATTGTCATCTAATAACGCGGCTTCAAAATAGTACAGCAACACGGACATAACTCCAGGAGAAACAATCGAACCCACCCTCTTCGTGGGGCACCTCGACACACCTCCCTCTGTGATTGATGACGCTTGCGGACTAAAGGTACAGGAACCTGAACGACGCTATTAACAAACCCGATTGAATGGACACAGGTAGAAAAGGGAAGGGAAACACGAGCTTTTCAAGCCAGGCAGAACATTAGAGAAAATAAAAAAGATAATTTCCTGCACACCTATTTTCTAACTATAACACTATTAGGTTAAAAATCAGTAACAGATATCCCCAAACTCACCTTACATACTAAAGTGTGTGTGTGTGTGTGTGTGTGTATTTATGCTTTTATATATATACTTTCTAGATAATCCAAGGCTTGCTCTATGGACAAATTATAATGAAAAAATGAGAAGATATTTGAAACCCAATGCTAATGAAAATACTGTTTATCAAAATGTGTGGGCTGCGCCCTGGCTGGTTTTGAGCACTGGCCTGCCAACTGGAAGGTTGCAGGTTCGATTCCCGGTCAGGGCCCAGGCCTGGGTTGCAGGCCAGGTCCCCAGGTGGGTGCGTGGGGGAGGCAGCTGACCCATGTATCTCTCACACATTCCTCTCCCTCTCTTTCCCCCTCCCTCCCATCTCCCTAAAAATACACAAACAAAATCCTCGAAAAAGAAGTATGGGCTTCATCTACAGTGGCACTTACAGAAAATTTTATAGCCTCGTGTGTTTATATTAAAAAGAGGAGACAGGTCAAAAATTAGTGGGTCAGGCAGAGAATGCAAGGTGTTAGGACAGAAAAACATCAACAACAAAATGTTTTTTTCTTCTAAAATGTAGAAGAAAGGAAATAATACAAAAGTGTAAATTAACAAAAGGGAAAACACAGACAGACGACAAGACCGAAAGCTGGTTCTCTGAAGAGAACGCTGAACCCGTGCATCTCCAGCAACTGTTAAGGGGAAGTACCAATAACCGATGTGAAGAATTAATGGCGGCATCATTACGGAGCATCAGAGATTAAAAGATAAAGAGAGCATTATAAATGTTCCTCCAAGTAGTATGGGAACTCTGAGGGCATGGGAAAATTCCTTAGAAAAACGATAATTTGCCAAAACTAACGAAAGAGGGAACGGGACACCGAAACAGTCCCGTAAGGACTGCAGAACTTGCATCCATGGGCAGAACTCCACCCCACACAGCAGGCTCTGGCCTGGCTGGTCTCCCTGGGGTTCCTACCAGACGTTCAAGGAATGGACACTTCCCCAGGGCACCAGCTCTCCGGGCACAGGAAACCACCCCAGCTGCTGCCTTTACCGCCTGCAACAGACAGAGGCGGTGGGAGAAAGGAGAGTGTCAGGCCCATCTCAGGAACGAAGATGCGAAAGTCCCCACGAGACCACCAGCGCCAAGTGTGGCAATGCAGCGACGGGGCCGGACCAGGTCGGGTTCACGCCGCGACCGCGAGGAGGCTGGCTCAGCGCCGGCACACGACACAAACAGCCACGCCACCAGGTCCGCCAGGAGGAAAAGCACGCCATCTCCACGGACACCCAAAGAGCATCCTGAAAAAATCCCGACGGCTCTTCCTGTGAGAAACACCTGCTCTACGAGAGATACCGGGAACTCCTCTAACCCAACAGAGGGCGCCGGTGACCCTGAGACATCCGTCACTCGACGTGCCGAGTGGAGAAGCATTCTCCTTAAAATGAGGAACCGACAGGATCCTTGTTCTTACCACGTTGGTTTAAGGATCTTCTGGGAGTTCTCAGCCAGCGCAAGAAAACAAGAGAAAAAGTAAATCATGAAGACTTGAAAAGAAACAACTCTCAGGACTCACAGATATGATTAGAGTTTCAGAAAATCTGAGAATCATCAGACAACTGTTAGAAAAGTTATCGGCATTAATGAGAAGTTTAGCAAGTTCCTACACAGAACTATCGATAGATGAAAGAAAACTGCATTATTATTGCACACTGCTAACCATTTTCCTTTCTGTCACGAATCTGTTTTTCTTCTTCATCGAATGCACTGGGGTGACACTGGGTAACAAGACGGCACAGGTCTCAGGGGCACAGTCCCACAACACGTCACCTGAGCGCTGTGTCCTGCGTCCCCCACCCCGACGTCTCCTTCCGTCACCGTGACTCCCCTGCCCCACCGCCCTCCCCCTCCCCGCTGCTGTGGACTATGACGGACACGTGAAACGGGGGAGGAAGCTCGGTGAGGGTAACCATCTTTGTTGCCGAGGGTGCAGCTTTCAGCCGTGGGCGAGAGGGGCCCCGACACTGACCCTCTGATCAGGAAGTCACCCGCCGGACCGTGGTCGGGGGCTGTCCCCGGCAGAGCGGCAGAGACAGCCTGGCTCCCGGGGGTGGCCAGCTGCCCGAGGGAAGAAGGACGGGCGAGGCTGGGCTTGTGCAACCCCTGCTTCCAAACTCCCCGACAACGAGGAGGAGGATGTCTTTCCGAGCTGGGGAGCGGGGGAAGGGCACGTTGAGACAGAAAAGCACAGATCGCGGAGGAAAGGGCTGATGTGCGGACTCAACCCCAAATCAGAGCCTCCACGTGAGGCTGCAGAGCTGAGACCCGCCACAGACTGGGAGGGGGCACCTCGGGGCGAAGGGAGGCTCGTGTCTGGGACCGACACAAGTCCTGAATCAACGAGCAAAAGAAGACACTAGCAGAGAAGAGTGAAGATGTGTCACCGGAGAAGGAACCAGAGACCCACGGAGAGGATGCTCGGCTTCAGAGGCAAACGAAGGCAAGGCGTGACTCCGCCTGCACCAGGCCGGCAAAGACCTAGTTTTGAAAAGTGGGCCCAGATGGAAGGAAACAGGTGCTTCCTAGGGGCTGGGCAGTCGCGCCAGCTCGGAGCCCAAGGGACAGCACCGCGGCCTGGCAGAGAGCGGCGGGCCAGCACGCCCTGCGACTCAGGGCTCCACCCGGGGCCCACACCCTACGGAGACAGCAGCGCGCGCGCGCGCGTCTGTGCGCGCGCTCGGACACGGAGGCAGGTTCGAGGACGCTCCCTGCAGCACCATGCGTGCGCGCCGCACCGGGGAGGAAAGCCAGAGCGCGCTCGGGGGAGGGAGGGAGGACACACGGCAGTGTGGCTGCTTTTGGAACACGGAGCATCTGTGGGGATGAAGGAGCTTCATCTATATGCATCGAGGGAGGCAAATCTGAAATATAGAATATTGAGTGACGCACATGACACTTATGCAGATTTGAAGACACAGAAAGCCACATTCTCGATCGCGTACGGCCTCACACGCACATGGCGGCAGTTGCGAAATGTGGGCGGGGAGAATGACCGCCAGCTGGAGGACAGTGGCGACCCGGGGGACAAATGGGACTGGGACCTAAAAAGGAAGTTAAATTGTATCCGGAATGGTTTTCATGCACACGCACGCTTTACATCGTGAAACTCGGCACACAGTCATCAAATGTTTCCCGGGTTCCTGCTCTGTGCTAGGCAGTGGCTGCTCAGAACAATTACATGAACGAAACAGATACAAGTTGCTGTCTTCTTGGAATTTACATTCTAATGGGGGGGGAGGTGACCACACATACGTGAATCTGTAAACATGAAATATATACAAAACCTGTGAATATAAAATGTGGCAACAGACGAGGTATCTGTCATGAAGCTGGGAGCGGGAAAGGAGCAGGAAAGGGACTCCTGGGTGGGAGGCGGGGCTGCACTTTTAAACGGGGCGACGGGGGAAAGTCACGTCCAAGCCAGGAGGAAGGTGAGGCCAGAAAGAGAGACAGGACGCAGCCAAGGGCAGTGGCGAGTGAGGCGGGGGCACCCCAGGAGGGCGGCACGGTGCATCTAGGAATCGAGTGATCCACGGGGGCAGTGTCACCAACAGGTCAGGCAGGGGACAGCCTGGAGGCCCCTGGTGGCCCTGACGGAGTTGGGGGCCCCTGAGGAGGGGAAAGAGAGGAAGGAGGTGATGGGGAGCATGGCACAGAGTGGGCAGGGCAGCGGGCGGGGCTCCAGGGGAAGGAGCGAGTGGATGCTGGCAGGGTGAGTGGAGGCCCCAGTCCCTGAGAAGGTGGCCGGGCAGGGAATGAGCACGGGGTGGGCGGGGGGCGCTGGGTAGGAGGGTCTCCAACTGGGGAGTCGACCGTGTGTCACAGGCGCGAGCAGAGAACTGGGCACAGACACAGGCAGACAGGCAGGTGGGGTGGGGAGGACCGTGCCCATGTTTTGTTTCATTTTTTCAATTAAATCATGTCTTTTCAATATACAAATTATTCTGAACAGAGGGTGGGCGACTTGGCCCGTGGGCCCTTGCCGGCCGACCTCTGGCCACCGAGGACCGTACCGAGGACACACAGCCCAGCGCCCCCGAACGCCAGGGCAGAAATGGCGAGCACGCGGGGCTTTCCCCGGCCACACGCGCTGCCTCGGAGCTGGCGCGGAAGGGTGGACGGGTCTGACCAGGGTCGTGGCTGGCCAGGCGACCACAGTGGACAAAACCAGGGCCAGAGAGGGGAGGCTGTGTGCGCAGGAGCGGTGCTGGCGGGCCCAGAGCCCAGGCTGGGCCCCAGGGCTGGGCCCCAGGGCTGGGCCCCAGTGCTGAGCCGGAGCCCCACAGAGCGCAGGAGGCAGGAGTCGGGAGCTGCAGAGGAGGGCTGACAGGCAGCACCTGCCCGGGGGAGGGCGAGGGGGAGGGGGAGCGAGGTCCGGGCTTCTTGCACGGGAAGGGTGGGGAGTCAGGCCCTATGGGATCCCAGACGACCCGCTCAAGGCAGAGACCAGAGGGCAGGGAACTGTGGGGGCCCTGCCACGGGCCATCCCGTTCCTGGGTCCCTGCACCCTCCGTGGCGGTGGTGACAGGCCCCCATATACGGTGTGCTCTAGATGTGGTCAGACGAGCCCACCGCGGACCTGCCCCCCAGACCGAGAGACGGCAATCTCCCCCCAGTCCCAGCCCCTCTTTCTGTCCTTCCGTCCTCTAGCTTCCAGACCGTCCTCGGCACCCACGCGGTGCGTGCTCTGACCGCTGACGCCGTGGCCGGCTCTGCAGGCCATCTGCCCTTGGAAAAGGGAAAATCTAATCTCGAGGAAACAGCACACTCAGAAGACGCACTTCATCCACGAGTGGCCCAAGTGATCAGATGCAAGGGGAACCCAGGCACAGGGGACAGGCCAGGAGGTGGGTCCCCCATCATTCACCCCTGACCCGGCCGGGGCCTCACTTCGGTCACGTGGCTTGCCCCTTGCATCCCCCTGTCCTTCCCGTCACTTTCAAAGGTGCTGACTGGCTGCGGGAAAACCCGAGACAGTGATACCCAGTATCCAGACCCACCTCCAATCAACCCGCGGCTCTAACCATCACGCAGAGTGTGGCTAACACGCGGCTAGTGGGTCAGTGTTCTGTGACGCCTGATGGATTTCAATGAGAGGTGGCTCCGGGAGGGAGCTACGTGTGAATGAAGTGTTGTCTTTAGTACACTCCTACCCTGCCTATCCAGGTCCGTCCCTCACTCCCCCCGATTCAGAACCACTGGCTCGCTCTCCCTCTCTCTTCCTCTCCCTCTCTCTCTCTCTCCCTCTCTCGGCTGGGTCTGCTGCCTGGTTCCCCACTGGGACGTATTCCGGGTGCTGGCCGAACAGGGGATGGGCCGTAACTACTGAACGGAACTCGGAAGGCCACGAAGGCCACACCGTCTCTGGCCTTCGCCTCCCTGTTTCCGTCGGACTGCCCAGCGTCTCCCCGGCGCCCGCCCGGCCCCTCACCTGGACTGGGGTCCACGGGAGCATCCGGAACCTTGGGGGCTGTGCGGCGCCAGCCACACGGCTCCTTCCCCTGCTCGCCCTGGGACAGGACCTCGGGCTTGGAGATGGCGTAGTCTGAGGAGAGACGTCATCAGGGTTAGCGTGTGCCGCGTGGCTCCACTCGGAGCTGGGGACAGGCGGCCTGGGAAACCAAGAGTGGCCGAGCAACGGAATTCCCTGACTGGTACAGAGCAGCGGGCTCAACCACAGGCAACTCTGTCCCCGGGGAGACAGACATTTCTGGGTGTCGTGACTGAGGGCTGGGAGGGCGGTGCGCTGGGCGGGTGGGGGTCAGGGGGCCGCTGCCCCACAACACAGAACTGCCTGGCCCACCGTGCTGCTGTGCCGAGGTGAGGGGACGCTGGCACCATCCCCACACCGGGAAGTGGTGTGTTCTTGCAAACTGACGTGTATTGTCACACTGGCACCCACTCCGTCCTCCCTAAGGAGGCCCTACTGCCTGCAGGTCTGGGGTCACGCAGTCTGGGGTCACGCTGAAACACCCCAAGAGGAAACAAGCCCAGGAGGAAACAGCGCAGCCCCTCTGGGGGTGTCACATGGGGAGTGTCACAGCAGCCCCAGGGTCTAGGGGACGAAGACAGCGCTGGCCGCAAGCAGCACAGCCTGCCTTCTCCACTGACCCAGGAGAGCGCCACAGTCCAGGCCACAGAGCTCAGCAAGAAAAGGCTAAGAGAGAGAAAGCCCTTCTCAGATGTGGGCGGGTCACATCCCAGATCTGAGCGGCAAGCGCCTGCTCCACTCCAAGTCCCAGCAGGAGAATGCAAGCAGCCACGCTCCCAGGATGGGGAGTGGTCGGATGGGGGCCCCCCCACCTGGGGCTGGCATCCCATGAATTTGACCGAGTGGAAGGGAGCTTTCAGCTCAGTCGTCTAGTGCTTTAGGAAGAGGGGACAGTTCTTTGTATGGTCCTAGTTTCTAGTGATGTACATGTCCTTGTGAGAAAACCCACTGGCATGAAAGGAGAGGCCCGAGGTTCCCCCAAACCACACCGAACAGAGAAATGAGCATTAGGCCTCACCCAGGGAGACCAGTGTCTCGTAGTTGCCCCTCATCACGTGCTTGTACAGCTCCTTCTGCCACTCGTCCAGCTTGCCCCACTCCTGCTCCGAGAAACAGACAACCACGTCATCAGAGGTCACGGGCCCGCGGAGCCCCAGGCGTCACGCATGATCGCCCACACTGACAGGCACGGCCCCCTGGGCCGTCCCACCCCAGGTGCCCGGGGTTACCTTGGGGGCCTCCCCCTTGCTGCCCGGGGGCAGCCGCAGCACCCAGAAGTTCCTGTTCCTCAGCAGGTTCTCCATGTTCTCCAGGCGCCTCTGCAGCAGCCCGTACTCCTGCAGCAGCGTGCCCAGCACGGCCCACTTGCCCTCCAGCTGGTTCCCGAACTCCAAGGTCGTCTTCTCACAGTCCGCCAGCTTCTTCTCGGCCATCCCCGTTCGACCTTCCAGGGAGAGCAAGCGGGCAGCCTGCGATTCGATCTTCCTCTCCATCGCTTGGATTGTAGCTGCCATTGTCCAGGGAGAAATCTTCCAGAAACAAAGAGAAAAGACCGGCATTAATCATTCCACCAGTTGTGTTTCAGGAGCCCAGCGGCCCTGGGTGTGGGGGGGCTGGGCTGGGGGCGGGAGCCCATGTGTCAAAGTAGGGACATCCTGTGCCACATGCCAGGTGTCCCCCTAGCGAACGCCCCTTCTCTGGGGGTCTTAGACAAGACCTGAGCTGGCGGCCGCTGTCCCTCCAGGCCTCTGCAACACGCCGCGCAGACCCCTAGGGGGCGTCCGCCACCCTACAGTTACCTCTGGAGTCCCTCCTGCATGACCTCTGAAGGCTGTACTACCCCTTTCACAGCCCAGGGCGACTCTGCTAAACGAACTCTGGGCGTTTTAGTGGAACAATGGTAAAATGCACATGCCCCAGAGGCCAGCCAGCACTTCCCATCGTACTCACACAGGGACTGTCTACCGAGGATGACCTAGCAAAAAAACAAAAACAAACAAAAAAAACCCCAAAACAAAACAAAAACCAGCCACTGGAACAGCATAAACAAGAGCACTGCCCAACAGCTTTTTAAATAAGCAGCGTGTGTCTCACTTTAATAAAGAGAAAAATCAAACAGTTAATTCCTTGACCCACAGGACAATCTGATTTGTCCCCTCCCCAGCCACAGCACCCCCCAACTAAAAATTCGCCAGTATTGCAAATCACCAGCCACGAGTTAGACTTTTTTTTGGGGGGGGGGTACCACACGAGTCCCCTAGGCCCTCTTGAGCGTCTGACTTTTTCTGTCACGGTTCCCACTTCTCCTCCCGAGGGACCGTCACGGCCTCAGGCACTCCTGCAGCTGCCCCGGGACCAGGGACACACCTGACTGGCTGGAGGAGAGGGTGGGACATGGGCCATGGGGTGGGACTCGGGCAGGTGCAGCCGCCGTCACGCAGACGCGGAGCTTCCCCAAGCAGTGACTCCCCGGTCTCTGCCGAGTTCACGCGGGGCCTTGAATGACAGGCAGCTGGGGAGGGACCCCCCACAGGAGAGGGGCCGGACCCCCTGCCTCACCCACAACCACACTGGAAGGCCGAGTCTCCCCCCCGCCCCGTGTCAGAGAGGGGGCCCCACTATTCAGGCCTTTTCCCTGCGTGGCCGAGGACTGACGGCCCACCACCACATTCCGGAAGAGACTCTGGAACGAACGGCTGGCCACCACGTGCAAAATAAGGAGGTGGCAGCGAGAACCGGCGTGGATGCGCTCAGAGAGAGACGCTGAGACACGGAGCACCGGCCCGCGGGTGGGCACCTCACGAAGTAGTGACGGGAGGAGGGTTTGAGCAGGGGCTGAAAAACACCGTCAAGGATGGGTGGAGCAGGCCGGACCTGATGACCTCTAACCTAAGGATGGAGGTGGGGGGGGGGACTTTGGCTGCGTCTCAGAGGACGGAGGAGCCAGACAGGCAGAGGGCTGTGACGACTGGATAGTGTGGGACTCCTGCTCTTCCGAGGCTGTGCGGATGGCGCTGGGCTGGCGCCTCCTCCCCGTGCCCCTGTCGGTTTGCTCCAGAAGCCCCCCTTTCTCTTCATCACCCAGCTCCCCATCCACCGGAGTCCTCCTCCGCAGGTGCCTCCAAGGGCACCCAGCCGCCACCACAACAATCTTTGCGTTGCAGCAAAGGGCCCCCGAGTAAACTCCTACTTGATAAACAATAAGGTACACAGTGTTCTTACCACGTTAACAGGGCCAGGGAGCCCCGTGGTGGAAGAGGACGACCATTTCTGCTCAAGCCCAGCTCCTTACTAAATGGTGTTGTCACCTGACTCCGGCCAGGGAAGCACTAAACTCTGGGCTTGAGCAGCGGACGGTCAGAGAACTCCTGATCCCTCAACAGCTCCTCACCGCGTGATGGAAGTCCGGGTGTTCGAACCCCTTCCAACTCTCCTGCAGCCTCCCACCAAAGCCTCCTCCCTACCAGCCCCCAGGTGCAACGGCACCTTTTTCTCTGTTCCTTGAACCTGCTGGCACCTCCGTGGCTCTCTCTGTGCCCGGGGCTGTCCTCCCCACCTGAAATCCTAGCCCTAGGAGCCCAGCTCAAATCACAGAGGCACAGGCCCGCAAGGGTGCGGGCTGCAGAGGGCGGCCCCTGCCCTCTCCTTCCCCTGCCTCCCAAGCACGCTCCACCGCGAGGCAGGAAACGCTCAGACTCCGTCGGGTTTGCCCTGTTATTGCCTGTGTACCTGCCTGCTGTCCCCAAGTCGGTGTGGCCCCGAACACAGAGCAACCGTGTCTTTCCACACACTTTCTCGCTGTGCGATCCTGGGCAAGTTAACTTCTCTAGGCCTCGGGTTTTCCTTTTGTACGACCGAGAGAGCGGGTGCCTCTAGGCTTGCTGCGAGGACAAAATCGTGCCTGACCGGGCTGGTGTGGTGCCTGTTTCTACACACGGGGGCAGCTGTCTTCCGCCCGGACCCCAGCGAGCTGGGCGCTCGGTACTGCTGGTCTGCGGAATCCAAGCCGCACCGGACACCACCCAGGTGCCACCAGGCCGCTGGGGGGAGCTGGGGGGTAGGGAGCGCAGAGCAGAGCGGTGGGCAGAGAAAGGAGACGCGGGGAGGGTGGGGGCGTCCGCCCAGATGAGGGGCCCAAGGGTGGGGCGAGGGCAGGAAGCCGCGGAGCGCTGCAGGAACTCCGCGCGGGGCGGCCTCCGGAGCGGGGACGGCCGGTTCCGCCCCGCTCGGCCTCAGCCCGGATTGGGGGGCCCGGCCGGCGGGTGACGTAGGCCCCAGCGGACCCCGCGCCCCGCTCGCCGCAGCCCCGGGCCTGGCGGCCGGCCCCGGCTCCCGGAGCCCCTCGCCCGGGCCTGCGGCGCCGTGTGCTGGGCCCCGGCCCTGAGTCCGCGCGTCCGTGCGCGCCGGGGGCCGCCCTTACCGGAGCCGCGGCCTCGGCCATGGCCCTGCGCTGTCCGGCCCGGCCCGGAGGAAGTCGCCGCCGCCGCGCGGCCCCACGCAGGCCGGCTCCGGCCTCTCCGCAGGCGCCGCCCGCCCGCTCGGCCCGCCGTCCCCGTCCGCGGCGCGCGCTCCTCGCTGGCCGGCCCGCGCCGCTCGGTCCGCAGACGCGCTGCCGCCGTCAGCGCCCGGCCGGTCCACACTGCATCCTGGGAGCCGGCGCAGGCCCGTGAGGCTTCCTGGAGGCAGCGCGGCCGCACAGCCCCACCTGCAGCCCGAGAGGCGAACGGCAGGCGCCCGCCAGCCCCGCCCCGCCGCGCCCCGCCCCGCCCTGCGGTCCGCCGACCCCCTGGATCCCGGTCCCCGAACCCCGCGGAAACGGCCGGGCGCGCGCTGAGTCACCGGCCGGGCCTCGCGCCCGACCTGTGGCTGGCCGCGTCTCGCGAGCGCCTCGGACTTTTGGACCCCGCGCCCCGAGAGGCTCGGAATCGCCGGGCTCCTGAGGCCAGCCGGGCCTCCCCCGGTGACCGCGGCCGCTCCCCCTGCGACCCCCCGGGGACCCGCCCACGTCGCACCTGCCGCTGTAGGTCCGGCCAGGCGATTCGAGCTTCTTGCCGTGTCGTCGCTGATTTGGCAGCTGCTGCTCACAAATACCTTTGGTTTGAAATGGAAAAAAATTCTCGCAACAATAGAAACGGTAGTTCGGCAAACCCCGGTAGGCAGCCACTCAGAACTCTCTACCGTGTTTATTACCTATAAAAATATTTTTAATGGAACAACCAGTGGAACAAAATACCATCATTTAAAATTATTTTGGTGAACTTGTAATGAAAAGATGTTCCTGGTATTTTAAGAGACGCCAGTCCAGAATGATCCCATTTTTATTTCTTTAAAATAAATATATGTATATAAATTGACAAGTTTGGAATATACGTAGTCAAGAAGTCTTCTTTAACGGTGAGACCACAGGCCAGTTCCGCAGGACATTTCCTCCCTTATTCAAATTTTAAAATTTTGTCATAACAACAATAATATTTTATAGTAGTTTGTAGTACCAAGAATAGTATTTTTAAACAAGACGGAGAGAAAAAAAATAAAACTGGAAAAACTAAGGTGACCCGGGGTCGGGGGACGGTAGGAGCCTTTGAAGGGGGCCCCCCTGTGGTCACAAGGATGCATTTCCTTTCTGTTTCCTCTCCGTGGGACTCCTTCCTGAAGAGGAACCGGCACCACGTGCCCCAGACTTCTGCGGGGCTTGGGGTCTATCAGCGGGATCTTAACGCACCCTCGTTTTCTCCTCGTCAGCCTGGGCAAAACCTCCAGCAGAGGGGTCACCCCGGATGCAGTGTTTGTGTAGAAAAGTGCGGTCTCCCCAGGAGTGGGGGTGGGGGTGTCACGTTAGACAAACTATGTTGGGAGGTCTGTCCCCTGCATTTCTGTGGGGGGGGGGGGTGTTTTCCCTCAATGCTATAGGCCCAGCTGTTTTCTCATGCCTTCCGCTCCCAGGGAGGGATTGACCGGGTCGCTGAAGGCGAGTGTGGGAGAGAGAAGAGATTAGTCGCAAGCATACTACTGCAGACGTCCAAGCATGAGGTGAGACAAGGCCGGACCAAAGGGAGAGCGGGGGTGGGAACAGAACGGAAGGGGCAGATTTGAGGGCACTGTCAAGAATCTGCAATAAGAGGGGGTAGCCTGCTGCATGTGCGTTTCACAGGAAAAAAAAAAAACAAAACACTCCAGGACAGTGCGAAGGTGCTGAGTCTGCCCCGAGGGAGCAGGCACCTGCGACAGAAATACAGTGATCGGAGAGAAGAGCTAGTTTTCAGGGATGTGATGTTGTAAAAATTCGGCTTTTGATATGAGCCAGAGCCGTCTGAGGGTAGCCATGACCTCTCCTCGCAGCTTCTCGGGTCGGCTCCATCCGTGTCTCTGGGGAAGCTTGTGAAGGATGTGAATTTCTGGATCCCGTCCCAGAACGACTGAATCAAAATAAGGATGGGTCCTGAGTATTGTGGGGAAAGCTTTCTTAAAAGAAGGTCTTCCCATGGCTGGTGTGGCTCTCGGTTGGGTGTCGTGGCACAAAGCAAAAGGTCGCTGGTTCAATTCCCCGTCAGGGCACAAGCCTGGATTATGGGTTCGGTCCCTGGTCAGGGAGTCTCTCTGAGGCAAGTGATGAACGTTTCTCTCTCACATTGATGTTTCTCTCCCTCTCTTTCTCCCTCCCTTCCCCTCTCTCTAAAAATAATAATAAATAAAATCTTTAAAAATCAATAAAGAGCACCAGTAGCTTGACTTGGTATCTGAGAAACAATAAAATTGTTAAAAAAATAAAAATAAAAAAGGTCTATTTTTAACCAGCTTCTGCTTGGGTTAGGGCAGGGCTGAGGGTGGGTGGGGCTCTGATGCTCAGCAGAGTCTGGGAAACAATGACTCCCCCAACCTTCCACCTACGACAAGGATCCAATGCAAAGCACCCCCGGTAGCTGGCCTTCCAACCTCTGTCTGCAAAAGAGAGCAAAGACTGTCCCCGCCCGCTTGGGCTGATGTTCAACACCTCCATGGTCTTTCCACCATCCCGATTTTGTGGCCCAGTCTGTGTCCTAAGCAGGCGTGAGAATTCCCACTCCCGTGCCCTTCCTCGTATTCTTTCCCCTCCTCTTGTCCACCCAGGGGTCCCCATTGTTTCCAGACGGGCTCATGCCCTAACCCTCACCGAGCCCCACCCTCCTCCCAACCCCACCGCCCCGATCACGCCTGCAGCCAACTCTGCCTTGGCCAAGCTCCTAACTTTTTGTATTGGGACCATTCACTTGGCACTTAAAGAAAAAACTTTAACACAGAGGAATACTGTCCTGACTCATCTCACAGCTTGTAAGCTTCTTGAGAACAGGGGTTGTACCTTATTTTTCCTCTCTCTCTCTCTATGGTGCCTGATACAGGGTAGGTTTACAGAACACAAAGTGCTTACTCAGCACAAATCTTAACCGCCTGTGATACGTGGTGGCATGAACTGTGGCCCCAAGAATTCATCGCTCTCCTGTAGTCTATTACACTGCCCTCCACTTCCCTCACCCTCCTAAGGTGGGTGGTCTCGAGGGTCTGCAGCTCACCCAGAAGGGCCTGGGGAGCAGGCTGGTGAACTTGAACCCTGGGGATCGGTCTGACCAGCGCTTGTGGTCAGACCCCTCTCTTGCTCCCTCCCTTCCTTCCCTGCCTCAGTCCCAGAAACACTGTGATGACATCACCCTCGGCCAACCTAGAGGGGAGCTCCTGATGGGGCTTCAGAGAGCCAGGGGCTAGGTGACCCTGTGGCAAATGTGAGGAGGAGGTGTCCGAGCCCTGGTGTCCATGATTGCCCTTCAGGCATTCCAGAACCTTCCATAGCCACAGTTCTTCTGCTACGCTGATGTCAAAACTTGCCTATGCTGAGGGTGTCCATGACTGACAACAGCTGTTCAGGAAGTGACCCGTCCGTGGGCCCCCGAACCTCCCCTGAGCTTCGAGCCTCAGGAATGAAGGACGGACCCCCAGGACATCCGGGCTCCCCCAGCAGAGGGGAAGGCTCCGGGCTGGGCTCCCCAGGGCGGAAGTGGGGTCACCTTGAGCAAGTACAGATGAGGCTTACAGAATCACAGGTGGCTCTTACTTGCAGCAAACTCCAAAGACGGAAACTTCCAGACATAGGAACCGAGCATCAGACTTTGTTTCTAGATCTTTTTTAATTCAATAACTATTAAAGTTATTGAATTTGCCCATAACTAAGTTTTCCACAGCTTTTGAAAGTAAGGTTTTGGTTACACAAATTAGATTTCTCACCATGTACATGCAGGAGCACTTCCTGGGCAGCACAGGGCCCGCCGGCAACGCCATTATTCATGAGAATAGAAACAAGCTCATTACTGACTCCCACTTCTATTTACACACACGCGGTTTTCAGTTTTACGAGGCTGACCCCTTGTGTCCTCGATCTCTGATGCACTTGGGGTGAATACAGCACTGCCTGTGGCTTTCGGTGGGAAAGCGAGTCCCTTCAAAGGCGAGCCAGGTGAAACTAGAATATTCCATAGGGACACCGAGTCCCTTCTGGCTTGGCTAGGGACAAAACTCAGGAGAAATTAGTCAAGAAGGCCGTACTGAGTACCTACCAGATCATAGTCAGGGTGACCACATTTTCTACACAAACAAACAAAAAAAAAACAGTGTTTTTAGTATAATAAAGGTTTCTATAACACTTATTGGTGTTAAGAGATAGTCTGGGAGATGCAATTTGGACCCCTGCATAGATAGAGAAAAACCTGGGACAATTTATAGACACATCTGAGTAAAAGACAGTGTCTGGAATTACAACCGGCCTAGGGAAACAAGCTTGGACGCTCACTGATGCAAACTGCTCAGGGTCAGCAGAGTGGTCAGAGATGTCGCCGCCGCTCCGAGGAGCTCGGTGTCTGTGGGAAGGCTGTGCGCGCCCGCAGCAGGGCGGAGGGGACACGCGCGAGGAGGACGCTCAGCGGAGGGAGGGAGGGAGGAGCGCGACGTCGGCCTGGGAGGCAGGGCGGGGCCTCTCCAAGCCCCCCCCCCCACACACACACACTGGAACTGAGCCGTCAAAGGGTCAGTAGGAGTTAGCTAGGCAGACGAGGTGGGGCAAGGAAGTTTCCAGATGGAAATCAGAACGCCTCAAGTGTGGTGATGAGACTGAGGTCGGATGAGAAACGACCCTGCGTGTCGTGCTCATCACTGAGATTCTATCCCTAAATCAAGGACTGTTAAAGCAAGTTTGGCTCTGAACCCCTTTCTTCACACGAAAACCTGAGAAGCACAATGTGGAAATGAGACCAGGGAGGAAGTGCTCCCTTTGGGCAGGACCTGGGGGCGGTGGGGTTTCACAAGCCCCTCGGAGCGCGACCTCTTCTGCATCTCCCCTGGTGGGGTCACGGGAGGATTTCCACAGAGCGCACCTCGAAAGCCACTCGCTTAGGAAGTGGAGAGTAACCGGCAGGTTCCAAGCAGGGAGTACAAAGCAAAAGAGGCATCTGGGAAGATTACTCTGGAGTCTGGTTGCTCTAAGAGGAGGGAGGCAGGTGCCGAGAGGTAAGGACAAAAGTCCAGGTGAGTCCCCGCGAGGGGACGAATATGGGAGTCACAGCCGCCAGAAAGAGAGGCCCTGACAAGCCCGCCAGACCT